CTGGCCTTTGCTCATTAGTGTTCAAAGCCTCAAACCTGTTCCTGAGATGGTTCTGAAATTCAGGTGGGATAGACTCAAAGTCATATTTTGGTATAGAAAATAAGGGAGAAGGGCACATAAGGAATAAAGATAAAAAGATACAGCAACAAAGAGTTCCAGACAGTTGCTCTTGAAAAATCTGCTAAAATAGCTTTTTTTTAATTTAAGGTGTGGAGCAAGAAAAGAAAAAGAAAGTGAGAAGAGAGTTAAAGTGAGAGAAGAACATTCTGATATCAAGGTAGGTGGTATAGTATGCATGAATGCAGTAAAACAAGAAATCAGGATCTCACTCTATCTTTTCTCTCTCTCATATAAGTAGGTAATCTTGAAATTGAGAGTTTATTAATGCAAAGGAGTTAGTACAGTGGAAAATCCTCTCAAAATCTAAGAAAAACAAAAGAATAGTAACAAAACAGATCTGCATTTAAAAAAAAGAGTAAGAATCCTTTTATTTACATTTGTCATGTTTTAGTTTTGTTTGGTAAGTAGTGAAAAACACACTTTCCTTCTTTCAGGGACTAAGAAAGTTATATCTTTGACAGATAATATGTTATTGTTAGCTGCCCTTTTGCTTAAATAGATAAAATACTCAACTTTCCTAGTGGATTACAAGAGTGATTTATAAGATCTAAATTAAATAGAGTATTTATTATTTATTCAGTGAAATAAACTTTTGACACAAAAACATCTTATTAAATTTGCAATAAAATAATTATTAAAATTTGAAGTTAATATACTTTTATTTATATATATAATGTCTATAATGTAATATTGAAGGCACGTAATTTGAGGCCACCAACTGCTCCAAACAAGAAGGATTGGCAATCTCTTTCTGTGTGCTTAACTGCCTCTGAAAACTCTCTGTAGGGTCAGCTATGGGTTGGTTCTGACTCTACGGCACACAACAACAATGTAATATTATAGGAATTGTATGCTGTTTTATTTCCCTTTTCTATTCAAGCATTTCCTGACAAAATAAGATATTAATTAAAGATAAACCCAATTATTGTTAAGAAAATGTCAGAAATATTAAAATGCCATTAATTACCTGTTTTTCTTTATTAACTCCAGACATAAAGATTTGCTTGTATTTGTCCTTAAAAGCAAAGTTCAGAGCCTGTGTTGGAAAATACCGGATAACATTTGCCAAATTACCACGCCAATAACTGAAAAACCCTACAAAACAAAACATAGTAAATATGAACTTATACCATGCACAATTTTAAAACAATTTCTATAGTTTGAGTAAATTTACCTACACAGACTGTTGAAAATGCCTCATAGGAAAATGAAAATTTTCTAAAGTATAAAGAAAAAAAGAGGAGTATTACATATATGCATACTATTCCAATTTTACCATTTTCCAGTAAATAGCCTTGGATACCTAAAAACTTAACGGAAGTATTAATAGTTTTATCTAGAAGTCTTTTTTATAAATGAAAAACTGAATTTTTGATGTTGTTTTGTTTCCAAAGTTTATATATATTTTGTTTCACAGTACCCTTCATTTGCATTGAGTTTCATGTGATAATTTCCATTCACTGTATTTTATAGTATTAATCATACTGAACTATATCCACCATCGTAGAGCTCTTTACAAGTAGAAAAACAGAACTTATTAATAAGAAAATTTTCATTCTTAAATGAAAATTTAAAATTCTTCTGAGAAGAATGAAAATCCCAGAACACTTGATTGTGCTTATGCGAAACCTATACTTGGAACAGGAGGCAGTAGTCAGAAAAGAGCAAGAAAACACTGCATGGTTTAAAATTGGGAAGTGTGTATGCCAGGAATGTGTCCTACCTCCACACCTTTTCAATCTATGTGCAGAACAGATTATCCAAGAGGCTGCGCTCTCTGATGAGAAATGTGGCATTAGGATTGGAGAAAAACTCATCAACTATCTGCAGATGACACAAGCCTACTTGTTGAAACTGAAGAGGACCTAAAGCACTTGCTGCAGAAGGTCAAACACTGCAGGCTTCAATATGGATTGAAGCTGAATAACAAGAAAACAAAGATTCTCACCACTGGGTTGATTGGCAGCATCAGGATAGGTGGTGAAGAGACTGAGATTGTTAACAGCTTTAGATTGCTTGGCTCCACAATCAACACCTTTGGTACCAGCAGCCAGGAAAGTAAAAGACAAATTGCATTGGAAAGTCTGCTGTCAGAGAACTCTCCAAAGTAATGAAGAGCAATGATGTAGTCTGGAGACTAAGGTGTGCCTGATCCAGGCCATAGTTTTTACAATCACTTGCTATGCATCAGAAAGCTGGACAAGAACTACAAATGACAGGAGTATTGACGCCTTTGAGCTGTGATGCTGGAGAATATGGAATATACCATAGACTGCTAAGAGAACAAACAGATTTGTCCTAAAGAGAATGAGACCAGGCTGCTCCTTGGAGGCAAAGATCCTGAAGCTTTGTCTGACATACTTTGGACATGTTGCAAGGAGGGACCAGTCCTTGGAGAGAGACATCATGCTTGGGAGGGTAGAGGGATGGAGAAAGAGAGGAAGACCCTCAATGAGATAGACTGATTCAGTTACTGGGGTAATAGGGGTAGATGTGTCAGAAACAATACAATTGGCACAGGATAGAGCAGGGTTTAGGGCTCATACATAGGGTCACTATGAATTGCAGGTGACTTGAATGCACATAACAACAATAACTTGGCAACAGTTCTGCTAAAAATGGGCATAATGGAAAAAAAAAGAAACATATTCACTTATTATTTAGTATTTACTTTACACATAGACTTCACCAGATAGATTTCATAGGAACCAAATTGACTATATCTGTGGAAGACATTGTTGGAGAAGGTCACTATCAGCAATCAAAACCAGACTAGGAGCTCACTGTGGAACAAGATCATCAGTAACTCATGTGCAAGTCCAAATTGAGGTAGAAGAAAATTCAGACAAGTCCACAAGAAGCAAAATATGATCTGATTACATACCACCTTAATATAAAAATCATCTTAAGGGATTCCAAGATGGCGGCAGTGGTGGAAACAACATGGCGAGCTGCGGGAGCAGTGGACTGCATGGAGGAGGGTCACCATGGCCTTCTACAGACCTGTTTATTGATAACTGAACAGTTAAACAGTTGATGACTGGTCTTTGGTGTGGATCGAGTCTCAACATCAGGAGATCAAGGATTTCCAGGGAGGAATGGATGAGTCCTGTGGCTCCCAGCCCCCTGCTGCCGAGCCTGTGCAGCCGCTGGATCTCAGATGAGGACCTCACCCGAGATGGATGGTAGGCACCCCCCCCCCCCCCCCCCCCCCCCCCCCCCCCCCCCCCCCCCCCCCCCCCCCCCCCCCCCCCCCCCCCCCCCCCCCCCCCCCCCCCATGCAGTGGAGCAGAGTGGACTGGTTCTGGGGAGAATTCTTGGAGCCAAGATGGCAGGTTGGGGTTTCCCTGGGCAGGCCAGAAAGGAAGATTACCAATACAATGGATTGAGGAGAGTCTCTGTGAGCTGTTTACAACTTGATGACATTTAACTGTGGCAGCATGTCTGAGACGGCAGATAGCCTCAATGCACCACATCTTTTGATCTGCTGTCTGCCTTTGCCAAGAACTGTTTAGACCTGGGGAGGGGGTCCTGTTCATCACTCTCAGGTCCCTTTCTCCACTTATAAAGGGGGAGGGCAGTGACACCTACTTCAAATTACAGTATGACCACTTATTGGCAGGGGGAGTAATGGTGGTGGTACTGGAATTGGGGATGCTGTCCCTGGCCACATGGTCTTCAGTGAGGTGCGGGGTCTGGACTTGTGGGGGGGACTTCGGTGGGGGAGTGTGCCAGCCAGCCCCAGGGGTGTGTTGCCTGCCCATGGGGTTGCCATCTGGCCCTAAGGGAGCCTTGTGTTCGGCCGCTGGCAGGGCGAGCCAGCCCTCAGGGTGAGCTCCTCAGCCCTCAGACTGTATCATCTCACCCCTGGGAAGAAAAAACTGCCTAGGGTATATAGAGAATTTTATTGAGGCTACTTTCCTCTACCCTCTCCCCCAGTACACCCATAAGTAACAACCCCAAAGCCCTTCTATTTGTAACTCACAAGTTTGTTCTCTCTAGATTTGTTCCCTTTTCTATAGGTAACCTTAACACTGAGTTTTACTCCAGACCTGACCCTGAACCCAGTTCCAAAGACAAAAAGAAAATACAATGGCCAGTTAAGGAAGCAAAGGAGGATGGAGCCTCAGGGTTCAGTTAACCATCCCCACTGGACCCACCTGGGAAAACACTTTGCAGTCCAGAGAGGAGTAAATATCAGGAAAACATCTTCTAGCAGAACAAGAAGGCAAGCAGCTTCAACCCAAGACCACCAGTAAGGTGATAAAATGTGCTCCCTTTCCCGCTTCACATCAATGCCCTTGTTCAGCATGAAGAAGCCAGAGAGTCTTCACCCAATTCCCAAATGAGAAACCCTTAAGTGAAAAAGACAATTTGTTTAATCACCACTCGACTATGCTTACCATTGCCCTAAATCATCTGGTCCCCACTGGATCCTTTTCCTTCACCTGCTCCCCCCACCAACCAAATTGTGCAGCCTTGCAACTGCATCCCTGCAATTTTCATCCCTGCCCATCCTCACCCTTCTGCTCCCAACCCTCACCTCCATGTATCCACAACATGTTTTTCCCAATACAACTTAAAAAAAACCCAAACAACCAAAAACCAAACCAAAACAAACACCATAAAAAAAATCATCTTAAGAGCAAGTTTGAAGCACTGAACACCAATGATCAAATACCAGATGTGCTATGGAAGGACAATAAGGATTCCATGAAGAGAGAAAAAAGGTCACTAAAAAGACAGAGGAAAAAGAAACAACCAGAACGGATGTCAGAAGAGACCCTGGGAATTGCATTAGAGTGCCAAGAAAAGAAAACAAGGGGAAGAGATGCTGAAATAAAGAGCTGAACAGAAGATTTCAAAAGGCAGCTTGCGACGGCAAGGCAACTATTATAACAGAATGTGCAGACATCTAGAATTGGAAAATAAAAAGAAAAGAATTTGCCCAGCATTTCTCAAGCTGAAAGAACTAAAAAACAAATTCAAGCCTCAAGTTGCAATACTCATGAATATCATGGGCAAAATCTTGAATGATCCAAGAAACATCAAAAGAAAATGGAGAGAACATAGAGTCACTTACCAAAAAGAATTGGCTGAATGTGGTATTTCAGTAAATACCACATGATCAGAAGCCAGTGGTAATAAAGGAAGAAATTTAAGCTTCACTGAAGGCATTGGCAAAAAAATACGGCCCCAGGAATCGATTTTATATGAAATGAAATGTTTCAAATGACAGCTGCAGCCCTGAACATGCTTACAAGTCTGTGCCAGGAAATTTGGAGGACACCTGCATGGATGAATGACTAGAAGATACCCATATTTTTATTCCCCTTCCCAAGAAAGGTGATAAAAAACAATGTGTAACATATTGACAATGCATAGCATATGTGTAACTATATCATTCGCTCTCTCCAAGACAGATCTGTTTTCTTGGCAGTCCATGATATGTTCAAGACTCTTCTTCAGCACCACAACTCGAAGGCATCAATTCTTCTTTCATCATCCTTATTCATTGTCCAACTCTCTGAAGCATAATAAATAATTGAGAATACTGTGGCCTGGATTAGGTGTACCTTTGTATTTAAACTGACATCCCAATGCAATTATTAATCTTTTGATTTCCTTACTGCTGGTGTTAAGAGGGTTGACTGTGGATCCAAGCAATCTGTAATTGCTAACAATTGCAAGTCTCTCAATGGAGGCTAGGATTTTGATGCTCTGCCTCACTTATTTTGGGCACATGGCCAGGAGAGATTGGTCCTTGGAGAAGGACATCATGCACAGAGGGCGGACAGACAGCACAGGAGGGGGAGACCCTGGATGAGGTGGATTGATACAGTAACTGGGCGATGGGGGTGGTGTGTCAGAGTTAGTGAGACTGGCTCAGGACAAGGAAGGGTTCAGAGCTGCTGTACATAGTTGATATAAATTGCAGGCAACTCAATGGCACACAAAAACAATAACATACTATGACAGGTTTGGAAGCAGGAGTGGCATCCACTTCCTAAATAACATGCCTCCGGAAACTCAATGAACTTTGATAATTTTGACAGCTGTAGAGGGGCTTCAAGCCTTTTGTTCCTAGTAGCTAT